CCCCCCCCCCCCCCCCCCCAAAAAAAAAAAACAGGTTATGTGATTTTGCTATATCTGCAGTAGCAAATGAAGTTAATAGTATATGACTGTGTTTTAATTTGATATTCTATCTTTGCTGCGGATTTAGGGGTTCTCTCAACTTCAAACTGTTTTTTCAAAATAACCTTGCATGAAACATGCTTTAAGTGATGCATATTTTCTTAAAGATGATTAGATTTGAGATGTCCAGGCTTTATTTCTTTGCCCTGCCTCGGCATTAAATGTACTTTTTGGACGGGTGAGTTTTATAAGTAGTCAAGTACCATTACTTTTTGGAAGATGAATATTGCCATTGGTTATTTTGGTCATTCTTTGCTGATTTCCTGTATTATCATGGTCTGCTTCTTGGTAGTATGGAGTGCCTTTTGCATTGTGGTTCTATTGACCATCTAAGGCCTTTGTATCACAGGCTATGGACACAATTATTTGTTTTAACATATTGAGATTCATTTATAAAAATTTCAATTGGAGGGAGAAGAGGAAGCTAGGTTGGTTAACTGAAATCAATTTCATACTTCCATGTTACATAGATTGATGCTGTCATACATACATAATATGGATGTGGTCACTTGAACATGGGATATCTTAAACATGCACTTGAGATGTTTTCATAAAGAATGTTGAAGTTAGCAACCAAAACTTGTAGTAATTTTACAAAGTCTATGGAGGATGTTATTTCAGACTTAAAGTCAACCATGCGAAGATACTTGGATCAAATTGCCTAGAAGATACATATGCTGCAAGCATTATGTAACGCGATTGAACTGTAAATAATATTCAATGAGCTATATAAGTGATATTGAACGATGAGAACAAAGGTGTGAAGGACAACCTAGCTCAAGCTAATGTTCCACTTTCTTTTTTTGCTGGTTTGGTTTGTTTGTTTTTTGAGTTGTTTCTTACAAGAAAACAAAGTACAAGGTAAACAAAAGGGGGATGGTTAGCCTATGCTAGGTAAAACTGTAAAAGACTCATCAACGTAGAAAGAAAAGGAACAAGCATTAAAAATAGGAAGGTTAGCCTATGCTAGGTATTCCTTTGTTCTCGAAGTTCAATTTCATTCATATAACTTATTCAATATTGCTTGCACTTCAAACTCACTCCATATTACTTGCAGTGTGCATGTATTCAGTGCAATTAGATCCACATTGTCTCCTGACATTACTGTCATCAAGTCTGCAATGCTGCCCTCCATATTGTTGGTTAAACGATTAGGAGTCCTGTCCCTGCATTCACACAGCTTTGAGGAGAAAAATAGAAAATGTATAAGTTAAATGTTTCATGAGTCATGACTAATTCCAAACATTTCAAGCATCTGTTAAAAGGAAGAGAAAGACAGAATTGTGACCTACAATATATCTTAGATCACCCACCTTCTTAATGTATCCATGCATCATTGTTAACGGTTGATTTTTCTTCATCCTCCTATGGACCACATTGGGGTCAATTTGACTTGGTGAAATGCATAGTTGTCATGGTGCCAGAGTACTGTTTGAAGGCCAAGTCAATTAGGTGACCACCTAGGTGACAAGGTGTGGATGAAAAGTGTTTTAAATTAGTAACATTAATTTAAATATATATTTTGAACTTTACAGTTCAAATTCAGCCCAATTTAGCATCCATTAAGGAAAAAAATGTAACGAAGTCTCAAAAATCATCAAGAAAAAGAAAATTGTAAATTTAATTTACTAGCAGGGTGCTCAGTAAAATTATCAAAGTTTATTTAAACAACGCATTGAAATTAATTTTAAAAATATTAGAAGGAGGTCTCTGAGAATACTGATAGATTGCTTCTAGCTCTCACTTTCTGCAATACTAATAATAAAGTTATGGGGTTGGGTAGTCCGATATTAAATTCCTAAGCCTTAAGGTAGTCCCTGCGTCCATCTAAACTAAGGATTACTCGGTATAAACAATATGGTCTGATATTAATCACAGTCAATTGAAGGTCGTTTTGCTTCTTAAGGTGTATCTGCAAAGGAGGTTGCTTCCAGTGAGGCCTCTATCCAGCAACTGTGAGAGCAATGTCTGGAGTCGAAGTCCACTTTCAGCGAGAACATTGACTGGGTTCTGCAAAGGTATGTGGCATGGCATTCTAGGGTTGAGAATTTTAGGTACTCGCGATGTCTTTAAAACGACGAGGAAGTCATCCTTAGGCAAACGCCCAGTCGTACCGAAGGAGATGCCTTCAACTTTAGGTGAATTTTGGGGAGGCAACAGTGCGTGGCGAGAACAGATTTCCAACTGGATGCTATGTCGTCGCCAAGGCAACACCTTAACAACAGTGTCTTAAATCGCTAGGATCTTGTCCCGGCGTTCACACCACATTGAGAAAAAATGGAATTTTTTAAGTTAAATGTCTCATGACTAATCTTAAATGTTTCAAGCACTTTGTTAGAGCTAGAGGAAGACAGAATAAAGGCAAGAGTTTATTGAAATGAAGGCTTTGAGATACAACAACAACACCAACAACAACAACAACAAAAACAACAGAGCCTTATCCCACTAGGTGCGGTCAGCTACATGGATCAAACGACGTCATTGTGCCCTGAGATAATGAAAAAGAGATAAACATGAAATTCAGAATACTAAATATGAGTTAGAGGGATGCAAAATTTGCTTTAGATTTTTGCTTCTTTTTTTCTGCTTTGGAAGAGTAGAGACATCAAAAGAGAATGAAATAGGAGGGAGGGAAGCAGAGAGGGGGCCACGTTGAGGTGTGGTCTTGTTATGCCCAACCTACATTCTTCTGCTCTTCTGAAGTATTAATGTTTCATAGGAAATGATGTTACTCATATTTGCTAGTATCTCATTTTCTTGTTAAAATACAGCTCTTTGTATATGTTTGTTGTGTGGGACAAATGGACAAATTCTTCTAACGAGTTTCGAATCTTGTGATTCTCAATTTTATGGCTTGACTGGTTCTCCTCTGTTTACTAGAGCTATTTATGTGTTTTCCGTTGTGTAACTATGCTGATTTGGCACAATGTTTACAGACCATGTTTGGACTGACATCAACAATGGGGGGTCATGCTCTAACTTTGTGTTTTGCATATATGTTACAGGGAAGTCGATGCCTTTATGATGTCATCTTATGGGACAAGTCCTCGTTAGCCATGCGTGATTTTTTAAATATATATAAGGGAAGCAGGAAATGGACTCTTTGATATCTGAATTATTCCTTAAGATGTTTCTTTCATGAACAAAATAATTTCTTTCCCCGCATAATGGCTAGTGATTAATTTTCTTCATTCTCCTGTCCAAGGGCTTGTAATACTTGGGTGAATTCTGATGAGTAGTTCTGCTAAATATGAACTGATCATTTACTGTTTTGAGATCATGCGTTGAATTGAATGTCATCAAGTTTGGATGAAATTTGAAACTTTCTGCTTGTAGAGGGGTTTTTTCATTATATTGCACCTTAACCCTCTTATGTTCACTCATAGAATCTATATGATCAATTTTTCATTATATTAATTTTTTTAACATATTTTTCCCGAGATTAGTAGTCTGTAAAAACTTCTGTAATACGGAGTAGTAATCATTTGTTGAGGCCAAACCAAGAATATGGACATTTCAATCCCTTTTTTGTAACTTTTTTGAAGTTATGCATTTCATTTGAAAACATTATATTTTGACAAGGTTGGCGCCTTGATAGACTTCTTGGAACTTGGAAACTTCTTTTCCAACCAAGTTGTCTTGTAGCAAACAAATTTGTCAAGGTGCTAGATACTATCCAAAGACGGATATTGTCATGACTAATAACCACTTCTTTGTTAGGATAAGTAGTTTGGAAGCTTAGAGGGTTTGGTAGAAGGATCATGTTGGGAGGTTTTGCCAATATCTTAAAATACATAGGGTTTCCAAGTCGTCTATTTTGTCATGAGAGGAAATGGGGCATTTGAAACACTTTCTCTCTAAACAGGTTGTCTATTTTGGGATTTAGTATTGAGCTTTTGCTATTGATTTCATATAAAAATACGAAGTAAAAAGTTTGCTATTTTTCGTTGTAAGGATAATTTTGTGTGGTATCTTTTTCATATTGTTCCTATATATAAGTGGGTCCGATAAAAAAGGATATGTGACTTACAAAACTAACATAAGGATAGTTGGATCAGGAAAAAGTTAGTAAGTCATAAAGAATCTAAACTGAATACCGCCAAGTGGTTTGTTACTAACATACACGGAGTACCAAGTTTGTTTTTTCAACAGAGAGAAATAATCCTGTCAATAAAAGGGTAATGGTGGAGTCGGCAATGTATGATTGTCAATTACTGTCATGAAACCCTGCTTTGAAGGTCCTTTTGGGTATGGGGAAGACTGATTTTTCAATGAAAATAAGATAGAAAAAGGATGAATTTTGTGAAAAAAGATAGGAAGTCATTCATAATTTCAAAACTTGAAGGGTAAATGTATGTTTTACATTCGGGTGTGGGTATTATTAGGTCTCTGAGATCCATATAATAGCAATGATTTATTTAGTAACCTAGTGAGGTAGTTTTTATTAGTGGTAAAAGGGGTGTGAGTCCATGCACATATGGACTAATTGCCTCTGGTACTGCTCATAATAATCACCAACTGCAACAACATCTTCATTCTCTGGGTTCAGTACCCCCACCAAATTCACGAGCTTATCGTTCACCAAGGACCTTGATTCGTCGTCCAGTTCTGTGCTGGAAAGGAACTCTGCATGTATTTCCCGGCAAGCAAGAACGAACATCGCGGCTGTGTCTGGCTGCTGTGCCTCGCGCAGTGCTGCCAGTGCCTCTTGCAGTGCCCCGGCTGCAACATACAAGATCATTGCCCTGCGTGGTGCAGAGCCGTTTGTTATAAGTAATAAAATAAGACAATCCCATTTTTGATTTTACACACACACACACACTTGGTTGGCTTTGGGGTATCATGGAATAAAGCAAAATGACTCTTTAAACTGTGCGCACTTCTTTTAGAGTGAAGTAGCAGTTAGTCAATGCAACTTTCAAACGCTCATCTAGAAACAACCGCTCTATGTTTAGACATAGGAGTCAGGCTGTGTACATCCGACCCCCCCCCCCCCACCCCACAATGGGCAGGAGGAGCCTTTGTACACACTAACACCTACGGAGTATGTATCTAGTAAAAGACTAGGGGGCAGCCTCCATTTGTCTCTGAACTAAAATAAAACAATGTAGTCATAAGCATTCAATTTGAATACATATTTAGATCAACCATTGCAATGGGATCCTTGCTTGGCATTATTTAGATGAAAAGTTCAATTTTAGGTTGTCAATGGGTTTGGTCAATATTCCAACACTATATATACCTCCAAATGTTATGTTCTGAGCGTAACACATTCTCGGCCCACCTTTGCAAAACCCTGCAAGATGAAAATGCATAAGACAATCACTGCATAGGTCTCTCTAGTATTATAGCCATATAGGTGTTTTATATGATTCACATCCGACTTTCAAAGTAAAAAGTATGAAGGATAGGAAAGATGGGGCCAAACACCCATAAGATCCTCTTCATTACACACCAGAAAAATGAGAAAACCTCACTACTTGGTAAAAAGATGAGTTATAATGTTGCCACTGTCAAAAGATTAGTCTCTTTTATCACAAAAATAAGAACTGAGAGTTGTACCACACGAAGATCAAAGTCATAAACTCATCAATGTTGACTCCTTTTGTGGGATGGAGTATATTTTTTTCTGCTTTTTTGGGGGTGGCTGCATACTAATGCTAGCAGCTAGCCTCATAATATAACAATATATCATAATATTTCATAGGCTAAACTCCACGATTGGTCCTTCAACTTTATTAATTGTGCACGATTGGTCGTTCAAGTTTAAAAGTCCATAAATAGTCCTTCAACTTTATGAGTTATGCATGATTGGTCCTTCAAGTTTTAAAAGTGCTTCAAGTTTTAAAAGTGCATAAATAGTCCTTCAAGTACACGTTAAGCCTTCACATTAGGTCCTTTTGACAGTAAATGTTAAAAGGTAAATGAAATACTCGCTCCATATAATACGAAGTAGTCATTCCTTGTAGAATTTACTCGTATTATATGAAATTGGTATTTCGTTTAACTTTTACTCCCTCCGTCCTAATTCTTTCTTCCCAGTTTGACTTTTCTCCATTTTTTAATTTTTGGCTTTGACTTCAAATTTTACCCTCCTTAAACAAGATTTTTTGAAACTTTTTTCAACAATCATTCAAAATATAGAGTTAGAAGATAATTGGTGTAAATACATGAGAGTATTAATGTCATTTGGCATCTTTTTTTTTTCTAATGGGAAGGTAGTTTTAGGACGGAGAAAAAGGGGAAGTGGGAAGAAAGTTTTAGGACGGAGGGAGTAATATTTACTGCCAAAAGGACTTCATATGGAGAGCTGACTACTTATGGACTTTTAAAACTTGAAGGACCAATGGTGCAGAACTCATAAAGTTGAAGGACTATTTATGGACTTATGAAACTTGAAGGATCAATCGTGCATAACTGATAAAGTTGAAGGACCAATGATGGATTTTAGCCTATTTCATATAATGGAATAGAAAACAAACAAGTTTTTCAAAGTTAAAACACCTAAGTTACCGTGCATAATCAGTTCCTTTTAAATGTGTGGCAGCTAATGTTGCAGCAGCTGTCCAGCATCCAGCATCTTGTAGCTGCCAAACAGATAGCACACAATAAACTATCAAGCTTTTTTCTTTGAAGATGGTGGTGATCTAAGGATCGATTGAGGTGGAGCCTTGGGGATTTTTGTCTTAAGGATAGCGGTGATCTCACTAGAACAATACATTGAAGTGAATAATTTTTTCTTTTGTGTTTGGGGGAAAGATGCAAGCAAACCTTATACCTACCCACAAGGGTGGGTAATGAATGCAAGTGCTGCATACTGATGATAATGACAAAACAAGTGTACTCTCACAAATAACATGATTTTTTAGTCACAACGGAAAGCAAGCTTTTAGCTTTGAATAAGATTTTTAGCCAATTTCGACACGTGCGATTCAATATCACGCCTTGTGTCCATGCAAAGGCCTTCAATAATTAACAATGAAGAAATTGAGACTACTACTAGATGACAGCATGTTTGCACCATACCTGAGAGCATGCTTCTTGGTACCTCCCAACAGCACAAAGGAGATGTGTGCCAGATAATGATCTATCTGTCCTAACCATATTTGCAGCCACAACCTACATAAGGGTACAAAGTACAAACGATGTTATTATCAAAGAATTGCAATTAATTATTAAAAATAAACATTTGGAAAGAAATTATAGAAGACCAATGATTAAATTATCAAATACCTTCACTGCTAGTTCAAGCAAAGATGTTGAAACTGCAGAAGAAAGAGCAACGGCGCGCAATGCATTTCCATAGAAATAAAAGCTCTCTGGAGGTGTTGACAGTAGCAAACTAACAGCTCCTTCTAAATTGCCAACAGATATAAGTCTGACAATAATACACAACAAAGCAGATAATTAGGTTTAGAAGATGCTTTGAAAAGGAATTGCTTCATATAATACATAACCATTGCCAAATGTGTTGATAGTAGTGAATTAACCACGCACGCTTAATTTCCAACAGATGTGAGCTTGATAATGAAATGCAGCATAGTATACAATCTCAGGTACAACAGATGCTTTAAAAATGAACTACATCATATATTACACAACAACTTCCAAATAGATGTACATTGGTTGCCTTTTATCTTTTACTACGTATTTATATTTTGGATACCTTGAATGAAACTTATTCCAAAGTTTCAATACACATTTGAGTGGTGACATTAGTATAAATGATGGGCCTAGCCACTGCAATCTCTAAAAGGTAAAAAAGGCTATTAAAAAGGCCACACCACCTACAATCATGGTATGCTGGAGCCAGAATATGAAACAGTATAATGACAAAAATAATAGTAGCAGCGAAACAAGCTCACTCGTGTACACGGTTTTGAATAGCCTCTTCACCTTCGAGTTTCTCATGCCAAGGGATACGCTCGTTAGCACGCTTCCACAACTCTTCTTGTTTGAAGGCCATCAAACCAAGTTGATTGCTACTCTGCCAAAAAGTGGTTATGTAACAGACACCAAGATCATTTTGCACAACATTGATAAGAAAACTTCTACCCATAATTTTCAAACATCAAATTTCCAAATAGAAAAATTTCAAAATGGCTAACCAGTGTCCCTGAACCTGGAGCTACTTTTCCCTTTGAAGATATCCTATTCAACATAGATGCATCATCAACCTCTGAAGTCGATGCTGATTGAGGAACTTTCACTACAGACTTTTTAACCAATTCGGTCATCCAATAATTAAGAGCTTGAGGTAATTGCAGCCAGAAAATAGCTTCCATTAGCTCACCAAAAACTGCAGCAGCAAATGCAAATCTCGATGCACAACCTCTATTGAC